ACATCCTAGAATGCTTTGAGTGGTTACCATGTGATTAGCTGATTAGATATTTGCATTAACTAAACAATTGTAACTGAATGCAAACATAACTCACCACTTGATAATCACCCTCAATAAATAAATGTTGTTTATAGTCAGTAGTTGTAACTTTACAAAATGCTACAAGGTAAATGCGCTGAAGAGATGGTGAAGGCTTTGTGCCTGTTACGCAGTGAGGGGGAAATGATCAGTGCAGATGCGGGGGTCTGGCTGTCATCAGGTAAAATCATGCCATGTCTTTGTGACTGTGTTCCGGACCTCCAGGGCACCTCAGATGCACGCGCTCGTGGAATGTGATTCACTGAAGGAAAGATGCGATGGAAATTTCTAGCGGCGTGATGAGGCGCAGCGGGCACCAGGTGTGCCTCATCACACGCTGCCAGCAATAGCACATTTTTTTTACCCCTCACAGCCACACGCTCCCATCATGCACCATCAGTGTGGGCTGGAAGACAGTGATTGGAGGCAAAGAGATTTCTTTGCTAAAAGCGTGTGGATGCAGGGCTGTTTGTGCAGACTGCTGCACAAATCAAGATAGACTTGTGCCTGTGGACTTGAGCAAGTGAATTATGTTGCTCCATTTCATTCAAATTGTAAAGTCAGTGTGAAACTTCTGGAATGACATTCTGGAATGAGTGTTAAATGAAAAGGAAGATATAGCATGGAATTTAATTTTAACTATTCAAAATTGATTGGGTTGTGAAAATGGCTTTTAAACTACAGAAATGTATATCTGTCAATCATTACGAGGGGATGTATTGCATAAAATGTGACTGATAATATATGCATAATGTTCAGTATTTTTATATATATATATATATATATATATATATATATATATACACATATATATTAGGGCTGTCAAAATTAGCGTGTTAACGCACGTGATTAAACGCATTTGCATTTTTTTTTATTTCCTGTTGTGGCTGACGTGTGTTCAGGGCTGGCGCGTCCATAGAGGCGACCTAGGTGGGCAGCAGAATAGTAAGCGAACCCCCCGGTCCTCACAATTATCCGCTACACCAACCACCTCCCTCACGGCCCTCAGCCTTCCATACAAATAAAACGGCGTGATTGCCGCTTGCCTAGAACACCACTTCAGCTTGCTCCGATCCTGCGTGTGTTTAACGTGCAAAGAAATTTGGCTAAGACCAAGGAAGCGCTTAAAGAAGGAAATTTTCTGTTTCATGCAATTTCGGGTGTTTCATTTTTAATATTTAGAATTTAACAGCAGTCCAGCAGTTCACTTTCATTTAGCATATTTTCATTCAGGATGTTTTAATGGAATTTGATACCGCATGGCCAACGGAAAGAAAAACCTCCGCATTTCGGGACACGCGTGATCCTTTAAGGTAATCAAAAATCGCCGTGTACATGGTAGACTCTTAATCCTTATCTTAATCATCAAAGCTGAGTATTGGTGTCCATGTTAATGAAAGTGCCAGATGAATTCGAAAGCTGTCAAAGACAGCCCAATTCTCCTCCTTTAAGCTGCGTCCATGAGCCCTCAAATGTTTCATTAAGTTTGACAAGTTTCCCCCCTTTTGTAAAGTGTCTGCTTCACGTTGGTGTGTCAGCACTGCGTGCGTTGTCTATGTTTGTGTGTGCGTGTGTGCGTATGTGTGTGTTTGTGTGTGCATACATGCAATTACGTTTTGTGATATAGAGATAGATAGATGTGTATTAATACAATCAGATTAAAGTCATAATCGATCTAAACAGAAATCGAATTAAAACGTGTGGAGTATGCAGATTTTAGTTACATTATTAAAGTGCAGTACAGATGTGTAAACACCTTAATTGATAACTCTAAAATAATGCTCCATTAGTTAATGTTAGTTAATGCATTATAATGTGAACAAACTATTAAAGGGATAGTCCACTACGATATCATATTTTAAACTTTAGTTGATGTGTAATGTAGCTATGTGAACATCTCTGAATGTAATGTAAAGGGAGACAATGTTTAATGCAAAGGGAGACATTGACTTTTACATAGTTAGCTTGGCAAAACCTACAGCAAACAAAGTTTGGTGACTTCAAAAAAATGCATGCGGACTAGTGAGATCACAAGGGCTTCCGGTTACATGCATTCACCTTGTGCACACACCCTGCGCAGCAAAACGGCGTGGTCAGAGGTGCTGTAATGTTTTAGCAGAGAAAGCTAAAATGCAGTTTAAACGCTACTATTTTCACAGAGCTTCTTCTGTTTCTGTATTTGGGCTTCCAAAGGACATGACACAAAGAGAGAAGTGCTTAAAAAATAATTTTAATTATTTTCAGAATTATAAAAAGATATAGCTTGCATTTGACAAAGGAAAACTTTCAGAATCTCTCCCTGTTCAGTGCTGAATTTGGCTAAAAACTCCTCCAACAGATGAAACTGTGGATTGTGAGCCACAACCTGTAAGTGTTTTTATTTGTTAAAATTGATCAACAACATGCACAGTTTATAGCGTTAGCAGTATGTTGTAGTGGGGACATAAACAATCGAGATGCTGTTTGGCAAATTCATATTTATCAGTCAATTCCCTGTAAACGCCACAATGTTCAGCAGCGCTGCACTGTGTTTCTATTTGATTGCTTTCCGTGCATTGTACATCTCAAATAACAAACTCGCAAAAGATATGTGAATGTTTCATATTACCTACACATGTTTATTCCGAATATATATGAAAGACACTTGTCAGAATATATTTTAGAGAGCAGGCAGACGTGTGGTTCAGTTTTGTGCGCTTCATTTTTCTGTCTGATTCAGGCAACTAACTCTGCTAACAGTTGCTCTGACTGGACTGTTTGCACAGCGCAAAAGATTGTGGTTGTAGGGGCATGACGTGACGTGGAGCCAATCTGCAAATCACAGCACCTTATGTTAGCCACCAATCAGAGCCTCTTGAGAGCTTTCAGAGGGACTAGGAAATATGTTGTTTTCATGTTAGCTGAGTAGCTGTATATAATCAAAATAAGATATATTAAAAACATAACGTGATTTTCTACAAGTGAAGCATGAGCAGACATTGCTTTGCATATTATAAACACAACCAAGTCTTAAAAATACACTGTGGACCACCTTTTTAATAATACATTTATTACATTTACATTTGGTCATTTAGCAGACGCTTTTATTCAAAGTGACTTACAAATGAGGACAAGGAAGCAATTTACACAACTATAAGAGCAACAATGAATAAGTGCTGTAGGCAAGTTTCAGGTGTGTAAAGTCTAAGAAGGAAAACATTAGTCTTTTTTTTTCTTTTTTTTTTCAGTAATACAGTTAGCGGTCGAGCCAGAGAGGCAATTGGAGATTAGGAAGGAAAGTGGAGACTAAATAGTTAGTAGTTTTTTTGAAGACAGCAAGTGACTCTGCCGTTTTGATGCAGTTAGTGAGTTTATTCCACCAACTTGGCAGATTGATCGCAGGAGTTCGAGAAAATGATTTCTTCCCTCTTTGGGAAGGAACCACGAGGCGACGTTCATTCACAGAACGCAATTTTCTGAAGGGCACATAAATTTGCAGAAGTGAGAGCAGATAAGAAGGAGCAAAGCCAGAAGTCGCTTTGTAAGCAAACGTAAGAGCTTTGAATTTGATGCGAGCAGCAACTGGCAGCCAGTGCAAACGGATGAGTAGCGGAGTGACATGTGCTTTTATAGGTTCATTAAAGACCACTCGTGCTGCTGCATTCTGAAGCAGCTGAAGAGGTTTGATAGAGTTAGCTGGAAGCCCGGCTAGTAGAGAGTTGCAATAGTCCAGTCTGGAGAGAACAAGAGCTTGAACAAGGAGTTGAGCTGCATGTTCAGATAGGAAGGGTCGGACCTTTCTGATGTTATATAGTGCGAATCTGCAAGATCTAGCAGTTGTGGATATTTGGTCAAGGAAGTTTAGTTGGTCATCAATCGTTACTCCAAGGCTTTTCACCTTTTTGGATGCAGTAATGGTTGCCCCATCCATCTGGATTGAAAAGTTATGATGTAGAGTCGGGTTGGCAGAAACTTCAAGCATTTCCGTTTATTATGGTATTTATTCATGTTGTTAACGTTAGTAAATGTTATTTAAGTTAAATAATGTTAGTTCATGTTAACAACAGGTAAAATTGTAACATAATTAAGAAAAAATAAACACGATTTTAAAAACTTTTAAATTTTTTTTTTTCACCACCCCATTATAATAATTGCAATTCCACGCTGGGAAATCTCTAAACTCTAACTCTAAACTTTTAACAGGGTTTTTTTAAAAGGTTTTTTTTTTTTTTTATGGTTTTCTAACCCTCACTCTAAAAATGAAATTAAAAAAATGCAAAATTATAATTCAAATGTGCTAAATTGAGTGAGTTTTTTCCTTCAAACAAGCAAAATAATCTGCCAATGAAGTATAAAAATATCTTGTCTTATGTCAAAATGATAGGAAAAAACTCACTAAATTTTGGCATATTATTTCAGAAAACAAGAATATAGTTTTTACTTGTCTATAAAATGCATCTTGATTTATGAAATTTTAGTTATTGGACTAGAATCAAGTCAAGTAAGTTCTCTAAGTAATCTCAAAGTAAGAAATGTCTTTTATTAATATAGAGTTAATCCTTAACAAATGTTGAACTAATTATTTCCTGAAGTCTAATAAATGATTCTTAGTCTGCAATCATTTTAAAGTGTTACAAAAGGTATACCAGTACACCACTACTGTTTGTTCCTTTATCCAAAATTGTCTATATTCTGTAGCGTTGCTGTACGGCTATTTCTGTTTCATGACTGGATTCCATGATTCCGTCTGCATTTTGCACTTTGCAGAAATCACAGCAGCACCCTAGGCTGTTTATCGTTTTTTTTTTAAACAGTCTGGACTGAAAGCTACTGGAAAGAGAGGTTATCGGGAGCAGCGCACATTTTGCAGTCTCAAAGAGTAAGAGGAAGAAGAAGAGACAAATGGTGAACATGCTGAAATATAACTGCTGCTTCTCCTGCAGGTGGATCCCCATATTTGGCAGCAAAGATCAATGAAGCAAAAGATCTGCTTGACTCTGGCCCTCGGCGCTGACCTGCTGCCTTCACCAGCCCAGCAGAGAGTTACATCTACTTCACTGCCGCCAACTCACCCAGAGCCTCCACAGCTCGCTCTTCATCTCCACGTTTTCCTGCCATAACTCAGCCGACTCTGTTGTATCTGTCACTATTCCTCACCGATACTAAATGCAAGTCGGCAAAGGTTGGTCAATCATGTTAAAGGATCTTCTTGTGAAACACTTCTGAACACAAAGTTTAAGAGAATAGTCCACCTAAAAATGGAAATTGTCATTGTTTACTCACCCTTTACTTGTTTTTGAAGTGTTCTTCACTGTTGAACACGAACAAAGATATTTTGAAGAATGCTGATAACATGTAACCGTTAACTTCCATAGTAGGAAAAACAAACATTATGGAAGTCAATGGTCACGGGTTTTCTGCTTTCTCCAAAATATCTTCTTTGGTGTTCAACAGAATAAAGAAACTCTATAAGGTTTAAAACCACTTGTAAATAGTGAGTACATTTAAATTTTGGGGTGAACTATCGCTTTAACTCTACTAAAGTGAACTTGTTTATTTATTAAGACGGGACTGTAAGATTCAAGCTCATTTAAACCATTTGCCTATAGGAAATTGTAAATTTATTTTACAATCTATCTCACTGTTGTTATAGAACACTCAGACAACAATTAAACTCTTTCTTTTGTATCTTTGTTCTGTTGTGTTCATTTATGCTTGTCATTTTTAAACCCTAACAAAACAAAAAATCATCAAAATGTTTATTATGCATGTACATTATTATTACTATATACAGTTGAAGTCAGAATTATTAGCCTTTTGAATTAGTTTTTCTTTTTTAATTATTTTTCAAATAATGTTTAAGAGCAAGGACATTTTCACAGTCTTATTTGTTTTATTTAGGCTAGGATGAAAGAAGTTTGAATTTTTTTTAATTGATTTTAAGGTCAATATTATTAGCCCCTTCAAGCCACATATTTGTTTTCTATAGTCCACAAAACAAACTACTGTCATAGAATAACTTGTCTAATTTCCCTAACCTGCCTGGTTAACCTAATTAACCAAGTTAAGCCTTTTAATGTCACTTTAAGCTGTATAGAAGTATCTTGAAAAACATCTAGTCAAATATTATTTACTGTCATTATGACAAAGATAAAACAAATCTGATATTAGAAATGAGTTATTAAAACTATTATGTTTAGAAATGTGTTAAAAAATCTTTTTGTTGAACAGAAATTGTGAAATGTGTTTTTTCAGGAATTTTATTTTCTATTTATATAAATGATAAAACTTGTGACAATGAAAATCTGACATTTCAATTTTCCGGAAAGGTTATATGTGTGAACAGGTCCTTTTTGAAAATACCGGTAAATTCGTTCTGGCTATTTTCCGGAAAGAGAAGTTGTAACATTACCGGCAATTTGCCGGAATGCTGCGCTGTGTGAATGCAGAAGGAAGATTCCCGTAATAAGCGCGTGCACGTCTAAAACGTGCTGACGTGAGACGTCTGCTTTAGCCAATCACAACAGTCAGACGCATTTACGTCCGCGCGGTTTGTGAGGATAAAAGCCTTTGAATATTTTTCCAGACACATTTAGCTGCTAGAAGTTAGTCAGATTACGTTTACATGTTCTTCTTAATGCCAACTGTGTAAATAATCATCGATGAGATGCTTATGATAAGCCGTTGTTTGTTTACCTTCAAGCTTTGCGTGCGCCTATGAGCACCTGCACACGCACATATTATGAACATCTTGACATGCGAAAGTGATCCTGCGAAAGTTGTTCACAATATTGATCATCCACAGAGTTTGTAATTTATTCAAATGTTCACAAATACAAGCGCAGCCGTTTAAAGCTCATTTGTGGTGAATGATGTCAGAATTTACCGGTATACCGGTGGAATGGATGTGTGAATGCTCTTTTCCGGAAAATTTCCGTAACGTCCTCGCCTGTGTGAACAGCGCTTTTTTCAATATACCGGTAAAGTCGTTCCGAAAATTTTCCAGAAATTTACCGGTATCACTGTGTGAAAGGGGCTAATGTAATGTCCATGAAGACATTTCTTCCCACTTTTAAGCTAACCCCTCTGGGATAGACAATAAATTTGATTGAATTGAATACACCATTTCTCAAAAATATCCAAGCATAATTAATTATGTTAGAATTTTGTCAAAATACCTCTGACTTTAATTTTATTTTGTAATTAGATGGCAAATAGATTAAATGTAGTAGGGTTGGGTCAGAAGATGATGCCGTCATCCATCGTCGATGACCGATAGACATCACAGTGCTGAGCCAGCATCGCGATCCTCCACCCCACCCCTGTCGCAGCAACCCGCTTGTGGAAAATGCACACTTAGGCCTCGTTTACACTAATACGGCTTAGTTTTAAAATGACATTTTAGAATGAAAATTATCCACATCCGCACAGGCATGTCAATTAGCATTTCTGAAATGCCCTCCTTCCACACTATACAGTTGAAAACACAACACGTGACCACACACACACACGCACGCGCACACACACACACACACACACACACACACACACACAATTCTGTAATGCTGCAGCATATGCAAACATCTGAGCTCCAGCAGTCTTAAGCACAAAACACCAGAGAACAGTGCACGTTGGACAGTATAGTGTTGGTTGGTTGCTGTGGGTTGTGCACCTTTTTTACCAACCAAGTTTGTCGATGCTATTATAATGACACCGATCACTCTGCCTATTTATGCTAGAGTCCCGCGGAAAAAGTGATTGACAGGTGGTAATTTGTGTGTAACTATTCATTTCTTTATTTCTTTGTGATTTGGTTATGGGTAAAACGAAGACCATGCTGGTCAGGTAGTGGAAACAGTAGGCTACAAATACAGTAATTAATTACATATGTATGAATTCATTATTCATAAATTATTAATTCTCTGCCGCTTACAATGACGATGCCATCGTCCATGGCAATGTTTAACGTTAGACATTGATGCCACATTAATCAGCATCGCCCAACCCTAATATGTAGACATTTTCCACCTCACCTGGCTCAAAAAAATGGATTTCTGTGCAACCAAGTTTCGAGACACCAATGGCACTATGCTGAATGTCGGTCTTGTTCAAAGGAGCCATTTTGTTAATGTTCTTTTTTAAGGTGCCTTGATGGATGTAAAAACAATCATTCTGCATGTTGGTTGGGGCAGCAATGGTGAATAGTTTTAAATTCATTTCCTTATTCACAATTCTGTCGGGCAGTGCTATGAGTGTGTGGTGCTTCTTCTTGGCTCAGAACCATCGACAGTGGTGATATTTTTAACGGTACAGGCAGGGCGTGGACGACAACTCCCCTCCACATGATATACTCATCCAGAGTTACCAATTTTCGCCAACAATTATTTAAATTCACCTCTTGTCCTGTTTTTAGTCAGACATTCATAAAGAAAAAGTGAAGCACTGTAGCCTTTAAGTTCTTGTAAACCTTTAATCAAACTTTCATCTTAATTCGAAAACACCTTTTTTCAGTCTTTAGCAGCTTAAAATAAATATCATCATTACGTCATCACCAAATAAAATAAATAAAAGGATTATTCTAATGCACAGATTGTGCTGTTATTACTGTATGAAATGTTATCATTCTTATTCCTGTAGTATGATAAGTGCGTCTTCTTGTTGTATGATATAGTATTGCTTGTATTTTTTTATTTTTTTCCAGGCACAGACAAATATTCCAATGTTGTGCAGTTCTAACATGTACCATCTGCTAAAAATGTATAGTTGGATGTATGATTTCCAGTGGCTGAAAAGCTATTTGGCCTCATCCCTTAGGGACCAGAGCATGTAGGTGTTAAGTTATTTTAGCATGCTGAATAAACTGTTTTACAAATGCGGAGTGACTCATTGTGAGTATTTTCTGCGTTTGTTTATATGCTAGCATTTTTCCTCCCGCTTTGCTGTGCTGATGCATGCGGTGCAGATGCTTGTCTGGTCTGCGTGTCTAACTTATGCACGCAGGAATGGAGCAGTTGGGTTTAGAAAGAGGGACGTTCTGTACGCTGTGTTTTTTTTTGGGGGGGTACTGCTGATTTTTTGTCTGTCGCGTGTGGAGATTAATTCCAAGGACGGGATAACTCGACACAAGCTGCACAAACCAGTAACACATAACACCAAAGAAATAAAAGCCAAACAGCAGGGAAAGAAATTGCTTTGATGCATTTTATATTTCATTTCTTTGAGAGATTGTAGCTGCTGTATACTCCCAAGTCGATTTTAAAAATAGCTAGTAAAACCGAAGGCATTATTCCACAAGAGGTGTTTCACGCAGTGTTTTATGCTTTGTTATAGTTACCTGAACTCATTGTGTTAGGAGTCTGTGGAAAGTAAAATGATTATAAAGCCTTTTTAAGCAATGTTTATGCACAAATGTAAGCCTTGTCACATTATATATACTATATCTTAATACATAATATAACCATAAAAGTTATCACATGGCACAGCTGAAAGTAGTGCTGCGTCCCAATTCACATACTTGTACTACTGTATGCCCTGAAAATATGTACTTTTTTGAGTGTGTAACTGACGAGTATTCAAGCTTTGGGACATACCACTTCCTTGTTAACAGATCAATATGTTGCTTAGTTATGAACCCTGTCACATACATTTTTTCATATTTAATTTACACACCTTATTGGAAAAGAAGCAGCGGGTTAATAACCCATTCACGAGTCTTTCATGCAGAGAAATCTCCTTAGGTCTTGGGATAATTATGCATTCAAAAGTTAATGTCCAAACACACACATATATATATATATATATATATATATATATATATATATATATATATATATATATATATATATATATATATATATATATATATATATATATATATTAACACCGAAACGCGATTTAAATATTTTCCAGTGGGCTAGACATTAATTAAGTCATACAAACATCTTTACTTAAGTCTCTCTACTTGACGGTTGGTCTCGCGCATCTATCATTTTTGTAGTTTGTGTACACTTTTTACCCACGTTTGTAGTTCTAATCGAATTATTGTTCATTGCACAATGTACTGTGAGCAATATCAGCGATTAGAGTATGAACACTTCTACACTTTTCTTACTTGGTTCTTACTCAATTTGTACCGGAAATAGTAAACCATCCGGGAACCTTTGGCATACTCTCTTCAACATACTTTAAATTTGTAACATACTAATTCTATTTTGGAATATGCATGTACAGTATGTGAATTGGGACGCAACATAGGTCATTATTAGGTGTTATCAGAGATGGAATGTGACATTTCCTGTAAATTGTATAGTATGGTAACAGAGTTGAGCGATACATTCTGTTGATATTGTAATAATATTTTTTGTAGTTTACATTATATTAGGGCCGGTGTCCTGCTGAGTTTAGCGCGAACTTGCTTCAACACGCTTGCCAGGGAGTTTTTATTCTAGGTGCATCCCAAATCGCATAATTTTGTTCTATTCTAAGCCATTTTGTAGTATAATTAGTGTAAGCAACTCGTTCACACTGAAAACTCTAAAAATAATAAGTGTGCTTTAAATGATGCCCTTATTTAACTGGTAAAATGAATGGTGTTATGGTGGACACTTCACACACTCAACAACCGCAGCTTTGCCCATGTAGTGGAAGGGGCAGAACTTTATTTATTTTGGATTGTGAATGCAAAAT